ACACACACACACACACACACACACACACACACACACACGCACACACACGCGCGCGCACAGATCGTTTTTATCGTGACTAAAATGTCATATTAAAATAAAATAAAAATAAAAATTGAATAAAAAATGTGAGGGAAAAAAACAAAATAGCAGGCAAAAATATGTTTTGCAGCTCGGAAATTTAATATGATCACTAAAGTGAAAGTAACTAAATAAATGAGGTGTGCCCGACGGACAGTCTGTCTGTGTCGGTGTGTGTGTAGCGCGTGTGTGTCCGAGTGTAAGTGCATGACCGCGAACGCCCCACAACGAAGGCTATCTTGAAGGGCATCCTTATATATGGTATGGAAATTTCATAAAGTGCAATTCATTTTAACACAATTTGTGTGGTTTCCGCATGAGAAATAAAATACACTGCACAACAAAAGTGGGCACTTAGTATTTACATGTTTGATAACTTAAAAGGGAAACTTATGAAAAGCAACAACAACAACAAAGCGAGAGGCAATCATTTCTATAAATTTTGCCGAAATAAAACTGTTCCACGATAAAACTGTTCTCAGATCAAAGCTTTTTGTAAAGAGCGCATTTAAATAGGCACTAAATAAATTACTGAAAACGCACTTGATAATGAAAACAAAAAGAAAGTCTAATGAAATTTATTAATTTGTGTTCAATATTTCGCAAAGAAATTGCTTTAAACAAAAACTGTTCCCAGGGCCAAGCTTTTTCTAAAGGGAACAGTCCGAAAGCAGCAAAATCTGGAAATGCTCTCCTGTACTCCTGCTCTACCCAACAGGTCACTAGATCATTCACACAGTTTCAAGTTTAACTGTTCCTAGCTACGCTTTTTCATAGACAAAAGCTTTCTGTGAAGAGAACACTTCTGCTCTACGTTAAAATAAGTTAAGACAAGTTTTGCTGTTTCGATTGCAATTGTTCCCCAGCCTGACTTCACCTAAACTTTACTGTTATTGTGCATAGATTGAGGACTTTCGGGTAGAGAACAGTCGTAGAAAGGCGAACGTAGTAAAAGCTCAAAGCTTACTTCACACGAACTTTACGCTCTAGTCTTATCCATAACTACGCATAAAGATCAATATCTAGTAATTAATCTGTTCCCAGATCAAAGACATTCGTGCCGAGAACAGTCGTAAAGTTACCAAATAATGGAGAGCTTTATTGAGAGCACATAATTTAGTGCACCTGAGACGACAGGTGGTCAGCCTGTGGGCAGCGAACTTTGTTTTCGATCGTTAATTGAATTATCAAATCGACTTTTATGATGGATCTTATATTTTATATGAGCACAAATATCTCTTGCACAATACGCTTTTAATGAAAATGCATAAGCCGTAAAATGAGTTTGTTGTTGTTGCTTTTTTATGGTGCCTAAGCTATAAATAAACCTATCCAATGTTTCTTGATAATCGTGCATTGCTTTGCACTCAACCGAATAATGTGGGTAATAAATGTTGCTGCCGCTTGGCGCTTCGATTGTCAAAGCTTTCGTCACAAATGCCTTGACATTTCATCAAGCTTGCAAAGCTCCAAGTGTGGGGAGCTAGAGGTTGGAAGAGCTTAAAACATGTTGCACAGTGTAGTCGCATGTAAGCGGCTTATTTATGCGATCCATGCAAAAAGGGACGTAGGACACGCGGTGACAGGCAGATGACCGCGAGGGGGAGAAGGGGTAGAGGGGGGGGGAAAGGATTTGCAGTTAATGTTAAGAGCGACAACAGCAAAGGTCAACGTTGACTGATTTGAGCGAGCAGTCGCGACTGCTGGATACCCTGTAAAAAGTTTTAAAATGGCTTGTACAAGCCGAAACGAATATATCATAGAATGCACATGATATATGTGTTCAATAATGCAATATTTAAATCGAATGTCGACCAGCAGATACCCTGTAACAAGTTTATGTAGTGTTTGAGACCAAACAGATCTGAGAGAGCGTCCAATATGCATCGATCGATTGCTAGATACCCTGTTTTTCACCTAACATTCAAAATTTATATCAAAGAACCTAATCTATTATTTAAATACTTAATAAAAGAAATAAATTTACTTTCATAATAGTATTTTGTAATGAAATTCAAATGAGAGATACCCTGTAATACGTTGAAGAGTACCTTTCTGGTGTGTATGACAATTACAGCATATGGACACATTTATTTTAAGCTAGTTTGGTCAAATATGAACTCTGAGATACCCTGTAAAATTTGTAATGGAACTTGTAGTTAACTATGCATCAAGAGAAATGCTTAAAACAGGCACATTTAATAACAGTATTGAAGTGAATACCGACTGTTAGATACCCTGTAAATTGACATACTTAACATATCGATTCAAAGATACCCTGTAAGTGAAAAATGCAGCCGCATACACAATTTTGGCAGCCAGTCCCTGAGATAATCTCTTATAAATCGGTATACCCTACTCGATCAGATGACAGCACAGGGTATCAAAATTAGGCAAAAAAAAGTGTCCCAACTAGCAGAAACTGTAGCCAAATACCACGTCTACATATCAAGGAAGGCAAAAAACCAACTGTACAACATGCGAGGCAAACACCAACACGCAAGCCGATTGAGATGGAGCCAGATGGAGGCAGATGGAGCCAGATGGAGGCAGATGGAGGCCGAGGTTGAGGCCGGCGGTGCAGTCAACCAATGTGGCGCGTTCGTTAGAATGCAGGCGGGAAGTCGGACAGGCAGGCGGGCAGGCAATGAAAGAACGACCATCAAAGTCTTTGGGGCCAGCTTCTTGGTCAAACAGCATGCCAAACGTCAGAGGCGTCTACAGAGTCCACACAGTGTGTCCATGCAGCTAGTCCAGAGAGCGTCGTCCATATGCGGAAACGCAATTTTGTCGTTATTTATGGACCTTGGCGTGCATGCAACATGCATGCAGCTGAGGCAGCCACAGACACAGTCGCAGTTGCAGCCTCCGCTATAACAGGATGACCATCGACGTGGCATTAGAAGAAGCTGCTGTTGCTGCTGCTGCTGCTGTTGTTGTTGTTGTTGTTGTTGTTGTTGTTGCCGCATGCAGATTCGGTTGACGATGACTTAGTTGGTGTTGCAGCAGGCAGCAGGCAGCACCTTGCTGGAGGTGCTGCGCTTGCCACACAGTCGAGCCGTAACGGTTCTCTATTAGATTAATTTATATTCAAATTTTTATTACCTGCGCATACCAAAAGCTCGACGACGACGACGACGACGACGACGATGATGGCGTCGGCTGCTCCAAAATGAATTGCCAGGCTGCGGCTGCGGCTGCGGCTGCGGCTGTGGCACATCCGCGTGGAGGCTGCGACTGCGGCTGCCTCTTTGGCTGTGTATTATTAGCCGCTCGCCTACTTGCAGATTCGATGCACGCCAAATGCCAGAGTTGTAGCTGTTGTTGTTGTAGCTGTTGTTGTTGTTGTTGTTGTTGTTGCAATAACGTATAGTAGAAACAGTTACAACGGAAGCTGTCATTCGCCTTGGGAATGGGGTCTGAGGATTGCCAGCGATTGCGCTTGCTCGGGCCAAATGTTCGGGCCTTGGTTAAAATAGGGGGAATGCGCTGGCGTTCCAGCTAAGCTAGTTGCTGGTTGTTGTTGTTGCTGGTTGTTGTTGCTCTTGTTAGTGTTTGTTGGCTATCGCAATAATTAACAGTAAAACGGACAGCGGTTAATTCAAATGCATGAGAAATGCAAATGACAAAACATTTGATGCCAAAAGGACCAAAACACAAGCCAACTCTCAGCCAATGAAGATGTTGTTGCAGCTGTTGCAGCTGCAGCTGTTGCAGCTTCTTCTTCTTCTTCTTCTTCTTCTTCTTCTTCATGCATGTGCGACAATTAGCCAAGATTTATGATAAGATCTGTGGGCTGGGCTCGCACATGCGAGCTGTGTTTAATAAGCCAAATCAATCGATCATTTATCGTGCTTGCATATCTGATCGAAAGCTGAAAATCGAAATCGAGTGAAGAAAATCGGGCCAAGTGGCAACTCTATCGTTAATAATTCCCCTGTCTTTCTCCAGCTGTGAGTTAAGTTGAGAGTCGCAATTGAAAGTTGTCAAGAAATAATTTGGAAAGCTTAGAGAAAAACAAATTCAACAATAATAAGTATAAAAATATGGTGGGTGGCAACCCTATCATTAATATTTCCTTTCGTATAAGTCTGCGTAGACTAAAATTAAAGAGCAACAACAGATAGCTACAAAATCTCAGAAACACACAAATTTTACACTAACAGAAAGAGTACCAAGTGGCAACCCTATTCCTAATATATCTACCTATAGCTCTATTTAGACTAGTCCAGGTCAGTACAAAAAGTTTAGAGTCGCAATCGAAAGTTATCATGAGATAATTACGAATGCTCAAAAACAAATCAATTTGACAATAGTAGAAAATCGCATCAAGTGGCAACACTGGCGGTGGCATTCCACTTATCTATCTCCATCTTGTCTTATATACAGGCATTATAGAACCTTTTAGAACTTGTAGATAAAAGGTCTTAAATTTATCGATCCAATTAGGGACAAATATCGATTCACTTCTTATGGTAATATTTTGAACACCATAAAGTGGCAACACTGTCAAGTTCTTTTACCAAAACGTCATTTCATCTGGTCAAAATTTAGATGAATCAGACTTTAAGCCAATATATATATCATGTGGAAACCCAGATAAACGAATCGAATCTAGAGTCTTGGCATTGAATTGAATTCTGAACCGAAGCAGCGACAATTTCTTCATAAGATAATCTCCCTAGATTTCTAACAGCAAGGATAAGACTGATTCTTGCTATTAGAATTCCATATATATATTATACTATATATATTATATAACTTAAATCTACTTAAAATCAATCTAAAGCTTGTTTGGGAAAAGCTTTTTAGGACGAACTTGAATCTAGACAAAATAGAATGGATAAAAGGAAACCCTATTTGGGTATACCTATATCCGATTCTGTCTTTAATATATGATATATATATTTTGATAGACTCACCCCTGCAAATGCTCCTCGACATCGGCGACAATGTAAACGGGCTGACCCGTGCCGCTGGTGGCCGTCGCATAGGGCAGACCCGCCTGCACGACGACCTGACCGTCGGATACCAGGCTGCCGATATCGCCGCCGGAGTAGATCTCGAGGCCCTTCTGGTCGCTGGTGGAATAGATGACGGTCTTGCTGCCATCGTTGTAGATCAGATCGATGTGCTTGTCCGGCTGATACAGTTCGGGATCCAGTTTCTGGGGCACGCCCGACAGATGCGGCAGCTGCTTGACATTCACGTTGACGCCGTTCGGATCGGAGGTGGTGTAGATAATGGAGCCGCCGGCATGTTTCTTGTGATCCTCATAGATTTCCGCCTCGGTCTTGATCACATTATCGTTGCCGTAGTGCAGCACGGAGGCGTCCAGCGGCAGCGGGGAGGTCTGATAGACGCCATGGTGTTCGTTGTTCAGCTTCTGGGCCTGATTGTACATGGCGGTGGCCACCGCGTTATCGTTGGGCATCAGCTTGGAGGGATCGCTGACGATGCGCGTGAGTATGTGCTCGCCGGCCTCGTTTCTGGACAGGATGTGATGCTCGCCGTTGATGATCTCCCGCGATATGATCTGCTGCTGCTCGCCATTGGGGCCCACTACGCGTATAATTTGATTCTCATCGAACTCGATCTTGGCCAGCGGCTGATGCTCCGTCTGCTGCTGCTGCTGCTGTTGCTGCTGCTGCTGCTGCTGTGTCGCCGCCAGGTGCTGTGTGCTCATCTGTGCCGCAATGCGTGCGTCTATCACCTGGCCATCGTCGTGGCCGCCATTGGAGCCGGGTCCGCCGCCGCCGCCTCCATTGCCGGCGCCATTACCATCCGGCGGCATGACCACCTTGGGCGTCTCATAGATGAAGACCGCCTCCTTGTCGTACAGCTTGGAGGAGTCCGTGTGCAGATCGAGCACATTCACGTTCGTCATCGTTGCCAGCTCCGGCTGGGGGCTGTCCGGCGAGCGATGCATCGTGGTCAGCAGCGGCACACCGTTCTGGCCCAAGGGTGAGCTGTTGCTGCTGGCGACTATGTTGGCGCCCTGCTGTATGGGCGACAGTGAGGCGTCGCTCAGATGGCCACCCACGCCCACGCCCACGCCCACCCCTACGCCTACGCCCACGCCGAGGCGATGCTGTTGCTGCTGTTGATGCTGTTGCTGCTGTTGTTGTTGTTGCTGTTGCTGTTGCTGCTGCTGCTGCTGATGTTGTTGTTGTTGCTGCTGTTGTTGCTGATGGGGATGCGAATGCAGGGTGTGCGTATGCGTATGCGTGTGGGCGTGACCGTGCGTATGGGCGTGTGCGTGGGCGGACAGCGATAGATCGTTCGACGTGATGACGCTCGTTGTCGCCGTGGATGTGGACATTATCTAAATGTACGGCTCGGTGTGGCCAAAAAGTCTTCCCTGCGGTAACTCAAAACTTAACGAAGACGGAAGACTTTGAACTTTGAACTTGAGTTGTTGTTGTTGTTGCGGCTGGCAAATGGCGAAGGCATTCGAAGTTGTTGTTGCAAGTTGTTGTTGTTGTTGTTGTTGTTGGTGTTGTTGTTGTTGTTGTTGTTGTTGTTGTTGTTGTTGGTGGCAAGCTTTGTTGTTACGAGTATATAAACATTATTAATATCACTATCACGTTTTGAATGAAGGCACTTGTTGTTGTTGTTGTTGTTGTAAATGTGGTTGTTGTTGTTGTTGCTGTTGTTGCTCGGTTCGTTGTCGCTTCAATATTGCATTTTATGGCACTAAGGAACTTGGATAACAGCTAGCTCCTTTATCGTTGTAATTAGCTGAAATGATAAAGACATAAAACAAATAAATATTTTAGTTAGTTAGCTTTTTAATTGCTTAGCTTAAGCGAAAAATATTTAAATAAGCGAGACTGTAAAAAGAAAATAAAAAAAAAAGCAAAAGCTTTTAACTAACAAACTCGCTTGCCAAATCTTAAAGCTATTGAGCTATAATATTTATTTATTGCTTTATTAGAGAATAATATTTATTGCTTCATGTTTATTATTATATAATAATATTTACTACTCAACTTCATATTTATTATAAAATAATATTTATTTGTTACTCAAGGTCTTAAAGCTTGGTTTTTCGAGCTTTTAAGCTTTTTTTTGTTCTTAAAGTTATGCTCTTTAGTTCTTGATAAGTTTCGAGAATATATAAAACTTTTTCTTCGTATTCAATTCATGTTAATGTACTATTTCATATTCTATTACATTTTAAAGCTTAGCACGAAAGCTCAAAAACGACTTGATAATTGTAGCTTGAAGCATATCAAAGTGTTTCTATGCACGAAAGCTTTAATAATTTGCCAAGCTCAAGAACCAAAATAAGGAAAACTAAACTAGTATTAAATACTCTTGAAGAATAAATAATTAACTTTGCCACATTCCACTAATTTTATGTAATTTGAAAACTTTGAACCCATTTATGGTAAGGCCCAAACATTAATTTTGAAAAATATTAAAATGATTTCGAAAATTAACAGCAAGGCTTGAGCGAGGAGCGCGGGGGCGCGGGGGGTGGTACCAAATAATAAAACACACAACGAAACGTTAACGGAATGTGGAATGTGGAACGGGTTCAAATGGCGGCGGTTTCCCCGATGAGTCGATAATGCGATGAGCTGTTGTTGTTGTTGTTGTTGTTGTTGTTGTTGTTGTTGTTGTTGTTGTTGTTGTTGTTGTTGTTGTTGTTGTTGAGCTGAACGATTTGCAAGCGAACAAACATGCAAACAAACATAAACAGAAACCGAAACAGAAACAGAAACGAGACGAAATACAAGTGTGTGTGTGTGAGTGTGTGGGGTGGAGGGAAAGGGTGGAACAGACGGAACAGACGGAACAGGCAGAGGGACAGACCAAACAAAAGCTGCACACACGTGCCCGTCGAACTAGTTTGACTCCTTCGCAAATGTCAAACGTGTAACTGCATAACTCATCACATCAACAACAACAGGTGGAAAGAAGCAGCAGCAGCAGCGGCAGCAGCAGCAGCGGCAGCAGCGGCAGCGGCAGCAGCTGAGCTTAAGTTGGCAGCGCTGCCGGCGCGACGCTGGGCCGCTGCTTATTTGTGTTTTGTTTTGTTTTGTTTTGTTTACAGCTGGAAATTAAACGAAGCTAAGCCAGAAAATGCCGCTACACCAGATCCATCAGCAGCGGCAGCAGCAGCAGCAGCGGCAGCGTGCGAATAGTCCAGTTATTTTTTTTTGGATGAATTTCAATTTCGATTTCGATTTCGGTTGCGGCCAGTTTCAGAATTTCACGCAAAAGCAAACATGTTTGCGAAACGAAACGCCAGCAACGAGTGGCAACAACTTGTTGTTGTTGTTGTTGTTGTTGTTGTTGCTGGGTGTTTTTTAGAACAGGTACCGGTAGTCCCAAACAACAACAACAACAACAACAAGTCAATCCTTGACCTAATCCAGAAGTTGCCGTTTGCCGGACTTTCTGGTTCAGCCACAAAAAGCTGGCAACCTGCCTGGCCCCAGCATCAGGTTCAGGTGGCACGTCCATGCGCTGCCAGTTATTGTTTGATAAAAGACAACAACAACAACAACAACAGGAAGAAGAAGAAGAAGAAGCAGAAACCAAGCAAAGTTCATGCGACTTGGTGTCTGTTGGGGATGTGGATAAACTTGTTTTTCGTCAGTTCAACCGGCTCGAGTTCGAGTTCGACTTCGAGTTCGAGCTGTGTCAGAGTGAGACGCGTTCCGGCGTCTGCGGATCGTGTCTAACCGTCTGCTCCTCTGGCTCACTGGCTGGCTCACTGGCTGGCCTGGCTGGCTTGTTCCGTTAGTAGGTGAGGTCAGTGTCATGTGGCGCGCTTATAGACTAGTTTTTGGCACACACACACACACACACACCTTTTCGGTGGGCTGCACTGGGGGTGCGGCTGCATCGGCGACCGCGCAAAACCGGTCAATATACTGACAAGCTGGCAACCCGGCACACGTGGACCCAAAGGCTGCAGGCGACCGTTACTCAAATGCGATTTATCTGCGGCGCGTTTTTTTGTTTGGCAATTAGAAAACAATTAAAACGACATCAACATCAAAGCGTACAATACCTCGCCAGCTTTTGCTAGCACCCCCCCCCCCCCCCTCCTCCGCCACCCACTCGAAGTGCCCCTCGGGCTGTCGAGCTATGAGCTGGCGAATGCCAGAAAGTACTTTCAAGAGCAACAAAAAATAAAGTAAATAATAAAAGAAAGAGAACTTGAGCCAAATCTGATTCTGAACTGTTTTGTCCACTTGGTCTTGAGCAAATTGTGAGATTTGCTTGATTTAAACTGAGACTTTTACCCATTTCAATTTAGAGCAGATTTGCGGATAACCCAAGTGTTAAGAGGTCTTAACAAATTCAAAGCATCTTTGGGCTATCTGATGCTAACAATTAAAATTAGAATTAGAATTAGAAATAGAAATAGAATTAGAATTAGCATTAGAATTCTGTGCTCCAGTTGAGGTCAGACCAGCCTATATAATCCATAATATTCCAGCTATTTAATATTCTATATATATTCTATATTATCCAATGTATATTGATTACATTCAAAAGTCGAGAGTTTCTAAGCCCAATTCTAACCCCACTCCTAAATTCATTCATATTCACATTCCTCTGCCTAATATTAGAACACAAAAGATTTCATAAAATATTTTCTATGATTTTAATTCTTATATCTAACGAAAACTATAAGTATAAGAAGCTTAGCAAAGTCTTTTCAGCAAAAAAAAAAAAAAAAACATGAAAAAGTGAACAAATATAATTTCGTAAAAATCTTCAACATTGCATATTGACTGACTGAACAATTGACAGATTGACTGAATGATGGCCAGACTGAGAACTTTAGGCTCTTGATTCGACGAACTTTGCCTGAGTGGAAGCATACCAACTGTTTTCACGGGCAAGGCCGGGTAATATGCGCTACATAAACGAGATTTTAGCAACGCAATCATGAGAG